AGGCCATCCCATCAAATTCAGGACAAGTGACTACTTTCCCCTGAGGATGGGCTCCATAGTCAGAAACACACCAAATGTGGTAAACACAACTTTGACCTTTGACATCCTGCTCCCTAAGACTGAGATGGGAAGGCCATTCCACCTCCATCAGATGTGACCACCGTTCTGGATATCAACCCAGCATCATAATACAGGAATTTCATCTGTGCGGATTAGTCTGTTGCACGGCTTGAACTCAAAGATTGCTACCACTCATTCAATTTAATACTATACTTGTGTTTTATTATTATTTTTAATATCTCACATATGTATATAAGTCAGTTGAGAATCAATTCACAATTGAATGATTTGGACAGCATTTCTACCCTGAAAAGTGACGCAATAAAAGGAAGACTTATGCATTTATATCATACCTTTCACAACTTGAAGCCATCCCAAAGCATCCTACTGCCAAATAAGTATTTTTGAATTGCAACCACTGTTGTAATATAAGAAATACGATTGCCAATTTGTGCACATCAGTTCTACAAAAAGCAATGTGACTTAAAAGTTCTCTTACAGAGTGAAAAGCAGACAATAAAACATTTATAAACTCATCCTTCCTCGATGAATATCATATACACATACCTGTAAAGCAGAATTTTCTACAGAGAATGCTGAGCACCCTAAGAGAATATTCAGCTCAACAAATCTAAACAAATGCATGAGCTGTGTGTAAACCTTCTCCTATCCCTCCTCATCTCATCTTTTCATCATAATCTCCTGTTCACTTTTCCTTCCTTTGTTTAGTTAACTTTTCGATAAAGGCATCTGTACTATTGACTGATCAACTACTTGTGGATTCCATATTTTCTTACCATTCTGTACTAAGAAATTTCTCTGCAATTGTGTTTTTTTAAATTTGGATGTGAGCATCACTGGGTATGTCCTTGAGAAAATGGTGGTGACCCACCTTCTTGATTTGTGGCAGCCCATCTTATGTAGAAATACTCATAGTACTGGCAGGAGGGGGGGTCCCAGGATTTTGACCAAGTGACAATAGAGAAGCAGCAGTGTAGTTATAAGTAAGGATGGTGTAAGATTTGAAAGGAAATTCAAAGGTGGTATGACTATATGATAGTGTTACCAGCAATCTGCTGCCCTTGTCTTTTAGTTGGTAGAGGTGGCGGGCTGCCAAACGAGCTCTGATGAGTTGCTGCGGTACATCTTGTAGACATTACATACTGCTGCCTCTGTGCATTGGTGGCAGAGGGAATGAATGTTTGAGGTTGTGGATGGAGTGTCAGTTAAGCAGGTTGATTTGTCTTGAATGTTGTTGAGCTTCTTGAGCACTGTTAGAGTTGCATTCATCCAAGACGAATGGAAAGTATTCCATTACATTCCTGATCTCTGCCATACAGATGATGGGCAGACATTGGGGAGCAAGGAGGTAAGTTATTCGTGGCAGAATTCCCAGCCTCTGACGTACTTTTATAGTCACAGTATTTGTATGGTTGGTTGAATTCAGTTTCTCGTCAATGGTAATGCACAGGGACAGCAGCATGTACCATCTAAAAAACGTACTGTGGTAACTCACTACAGCCCTTCAGACAGCACCTTCCAACTCTGTTATCTCTAACACTTAGATGTTCAAGAGCACAAGTTGCAAGGCAACACCACCAGCTGCAATATCAGCTCCAATTCAAACATCATTCTGACTTGGAACTATATCACTGTTCCTTCACTCTTTCAAATATCTGGAACTTCCTTTCTAACTGTGCTGTGAATGTCCTTATATTCCAAGGACTGCAACAGTTCAAAAGGACAGCTTACCACCACATTTCACAGGCCAATAAATGGTCAATCTTTATTAATTTGTGCATTAGTACTCCTAAATTCATTTTCTACTTTTATTTTCTGAGAACCAAGTAATCTTGTTCTTCAGCTTACCAAATTACACCTCCTTATATTTATCCTTACTGAAATTTATTTGCTAGCTACATAATTTTATTAATGTTTTAATGTATTGTGTTATCTACAAATTTTGAAATTGTACTTACATTTGGGAAGGCAATGGCCAAATGGTATTATTGCTGGACTGTTAATCCAGAAACCTAGGTAAAGTTCTGAGGACTCGAGTTAGAATCCCACCCAGAGCAGATGGTGGAATTTGAATTCAGTAAAAATCTGGAATTAAGAGTCTAATGATGACCATTGTTGATTGTTGGGAAAACCCATCTGGCTCACTAATGTTCTTTAGGGAATGAAATTGCCATCCTTACCTGGTCTGGCCTACATGGGACTCCAGCCCATAATAATATGGTTGACTCTTAAATACCCTCTGGGCAATAAATGCTGCCTAGCCAGCGATGCCTCCATCCCATGGATGAATTTTTTAAAAATTTCTACCTCCACGTTTTTATGTAAATTTTGAACAATCGTGATCTCAGCAGCAATTCCTGTCAAACACCAATTCCCAGCCACATTTATAACCTTAATCTGTTTTCATTTTTATAGCAAATCATTATTTATTCTGCTACTTGTCCCCTGACTACACATGCTCCTACCTCAGTCATGATTCTGAGATGAAGAGGCTAATACCTAGCAGCTCCTTTTAAGGAAAAGTGGACAGGCTAGGCTTGTACCCACTGGAGTTTGGAAAAGTATAAGGCGACTTGATTGAAATTATAAGAGTATTAAGGCAACCTGATTGAAAGAATCTGAGGACTCTTGGCAGGGTGCATGTGGAAGGGGTGTTTCCTCTTGTGGACTCATCTAGAACTAGATGTCACTGTTTAAAAATAAGGTCGCAGAGGAGGAGAATTTTTTTCTCACAGAGAGTCTTGAGCCTTTGGAATTCTATTCCTCCAAAAGTGATGGAAGCAGAATCTTTAATATTTTTAAAGGGAGGTAGATAAATTCTTGATAAGCTTGAGGGTGGAAGGTTATTAGTGCTCGGTGGGAATGTGGAATATTAAGATCAGCTGTGATCTTACTGAATGGCAGATCAGGCTCAACGGGCTGAGCAGCTTACACCCACTCTTAATTCATGTGTTTGTGTGAGTCTACTATATAGTATGTTATAGATTACATCTGCTGTATTACTCTTATGATATCTTCTAAGCATTTAGTAAGATGGGTTAAACGTAACTTTCCTTTTTGTAATTTGTGCTGATTATTATTTGTTATATTTTGTTTACTAGACAAGCATTTGGTAGATGATAGATCATCTAGATAGATCAAGTATGAAACTTGTTCTCAATACCATTTTTTTTAGTTTATAGATGTTTTTCTGCTCTATATTTGAATAAGGATACAGTTGGGTTAGATTTTGCTGTCACCTGGGTAACGACATTACTTACCATTGACCTTAAATCAAAGTATACACAACCTAATCCTAGTGGCAAGTATTTCAGTTGTTGACCAGAAATCTTCTTCAGACCCAGGGATCTTATCAGACAGCTGGAGACCCAATTACCTCTACCTCTTTCAGAGAGTCCTGCTGAATCACACCCTTATCAGGTAGTGGTGTGACCACCCATGGACCTTCCTTGGAATCAGGAATTTGTAACTGGAAATCTCACTTAATTAAGCCAGTCTATGAAAGCAGGAGAAAAAAAAGCTGCACACCGCATTCCCCTCCCAGTAGAGTACCTGGAACATGAATAAAGCTAAGTGAGCTGGGGAGGGGCCTTCTCAGGTTGGTGGTCTCTGAGAGAGGGAAGCAAGGGGATTGGAAACAAGATGGTGGCTCCAGGCGGCCACCCCTCTGACCAGTATTCAGGCCCTTGATCAGGTGCTAGTTTCCTCTGAGGCACCTCACCCTTATCCCCCTTCTATCCCAAGAAGACAACCTGGTGGCAGGGTAGCAGTTGTCTTGCACATGGCATCGTGACAGCCATCATGTAGCTGGGTTAATCCTACAGCATCAGACTGAGACTCTTCAGTGATTCTTAAAACTGGCCACTTAAGGGCAGTTTGACAATGGGTCTTCCCACCCAGAACTTAATTCCAGTAGGGGTTTGAAGGCAATGGGCTTTGGGTAAGCCACCAAATAGTAAGTAAGTGCCTTTTCTGCCTCCAAGTTCTTCACCACCAGGGTAAGAAATTCCATCCGAAAGGACGTAAGTTTTCTTCCTGGCATTGACATCTGTGGTTTAGCAGCATGTGTTCTGTGGACAAAAATGACAGGAAGGTTTGGGTGTGGCTTACAAGTCATTGTACCACAAATGCTCTAAAAAAGACTGTTTCAGTAAAAATGCATCAAGTCTAATTTATTCAGCATGATTCATTTCACAATTCTTTACATAATTGGTGGGCAGTTAGCCCTAATTCATACTAGTTCCATAATTGTAGTTTAAATTTTCAGTCCAACAGTATAGATAGGGAGTAAAGTTGGATTGCCCACCACAACTTCTGAACTTACGCACCACGGTACAGACCAGAAGCTGCATTGCCAGAATTGACACACAGAATTTGTGCTTTCCTATCAAAGACACTTCCTGTGGTTCTGGTCAATAGTTTCCTGAACTATCTTCCTTTCTAAATGTAAGAATTTGTTCTCCAGCTCCTTTTTGTAATGTTTTTTTAATAGCTATTATTAACAATTTGCTATTGTTCTATAATTTAGTTAGTAATACAATTCATCCAGACTAAAGAATTTTACACTTTCCAAAATGTGATTAGTCTTGTTTGTATTTCTTTTGGAAAGCACTGACAATTAAAGCACTATTTATATCCAGTTATTCCCTTAAATATTTACTGAAGATTTATTTGACTATAATGTAAACAACTGATTTCCAAGATGTTTTTCAAATCATTTATGAATATTTATTAACTAGTGGGTAATGAGTAAAAATATAACTTTGGTGCTCTTTAAATGTTGATCCCAATTAAAACTACTAGATATTGAAGTCACAATTTCATGTTTCTAAAATAATGATTTTTGCATTATATATTTACTGGCATTGGGGCTAAGTTTACATTCTTTTTGTAATACTGATTCTTATTTCTTTGAAAAGGGTTACAAGGGTGTATCAGGACAGCCAGGACTGCCAGGATTACAGGTAACATCTAACTCATCTTCTTTATAGTCATTCATAGGATTTGGGCATTACTGGCTGGGCCATCGTGTATTGCCTGTCCCCTGTGGCCCTTGAGAAGGTGGTAGCGAGCTGCTTGCCAGAATCGCTACGGAACATTTTGTAGGTAGACCCACATTATCATTAAGGAGAAAGTTCCAGGATTTTGTTGCAACAACACTGAAGGTACAGCAATACGTTTACAAAACAGGATAGCAAGTGTTTTAGTGGGACCAGGAAGTGGTGCTATTCCCATGTATCTGCTTGAAGGGCTGTCCTTCTAGATGATAGTAACTGTGGGTTTGGAAGATACTGTCTAGGGATCCTTGATAAATTTCTACAATGCATCTTGTGAATGGTGCACGCGGCTGCTATTGAGCATCAGTGGTGGAGCGAATGAATGTTTACTAGTGAATGGTACTATCAGGCGGATACTTTGTCCAGATTGTATCAAGTTTCTTGAGTGTTGTTGGAACTGCATTCATCCAAGCAAATTAAGAGTATCCTATCACACTCCTGATTGTGCCTTATGAACAGGTTCTGGGGAGTCAGGAGGTGAGTTACTCTCTACAGAATCCCTAGCATCTGGCCTGTTCTAGTGCCGTAATATAAGGCTGGTCCAATTCAGTTACAGGTCAATGATAACACCCAGAATGCACTTAGTGTGGGAGGTAGTGACGGTTCTGCCAGTGAATTTCAAGGCGCAATAGTTACATTTTCTCTTGTTGGAGATAGTCATTGCGTAGCACTTGTATGGCACAAACGTTACTTGCCACTTGTCAGCACAAGTCTGGATATTGTCCAAGTCTTATCACATTTGAACATAGACTACTTCAGTAGCTAAAGAGTTGTGAATGGTGCTGAACATTGTGCACTCATTGACAATCATCCCAGCTTCTCACCTTATGATGAGGAGAAGGCCATTGATGAAGCAACTAAAGATGGTTGGACCCAGGACACTACTCCGAGGAACTCTTCAAAGACCGAGACTGACCTCTAGTAAGCACAGCCATCTTCATTTGTGTCAGGTATAACTCCAACCAGTGGAGAGTTTTTCCCCTGATTCCTACTGACACCAGGTTTTCTAAGGGTCTTTGATGCCACACTTAGTCAAATGCAGCCTTGTTGTCAAGGGGAGTCATTGTCATCTCTCCTTTGATTGTAATATATTTCCCTTGGTACGCCTTTGCAAATAATCATACTAAAATATTGTTGATCAAGATCTGTTCAACATTCCGATACAAAAAGAACAATAATCTCACTCAATGTTCAAGGTAATTACTGAAGTAAAATACTGCAAGTACTAGAAATTTATTTTAGCTCAAAATAAGTATTTTATTGACAACATCTTGCATTTATATGCATCTTTAATGGATAAAAGGTCCTAAGATTTCTATGGAGTAAAGGATTTAAGAGGTTATACTTATCAACGATACAGGTTATACTTATCAAACATACATACTTTAAGGTAGATGAGCCATCTGGAAACCAGCTTATTGACTGGAAATCGTTCTGTACCCAAGATCAAAAGACATCCAGGCCTAGATTTTCACCATGAGGGAGCATCAAAGTGGGGTGAAAATACCAGAATAAGTCGGGAATCCCAAATCCTGCCACAACCTGCCATTTCTAATTTTTGAGAGGGCAGGATTGGGATTAGTTCATAATTCACACATACATGCTTCCTAGAAGCAGCTGGCCCTTTGGATGACCGCCTGCTTTCACTCAGAATGAGTCGTTGGTGTTGGAACCCAGAGTGTGAAGATTAGACTAGATAACAGCTGGTCTGCCTCCTGGATAGCCAGGGTATCCCTTGGAAAGCTGAGCTGCTCCTGCAGATATGGTCCCCAGACCCCTTGATGATGAGGATCGGGTTCCCTGTTGACTATTAACTGTGGAAAAGATTATGCGCAAAAGTTGCATAAACCCCTTAGAACTGTCTACCTTGTCAAGGCTTGCCAAGAACTGTCATGAACTGTCAATAAGTATTAACCTATTAAAAACTGTCAAGACGTATCAAATTATGTTTTTATGAATGAAAGTGCTTTTCTCTATAGTGAGCAGTATTTAATACAGATCTTTAAGTAATAAAACCAGAATTATTATATGTCCATGTGCATTTGAATGAATTCAGTGAATTGGCAGGCTGATGAAGGGGAAAGAGCATGGGACAAAGTTGGCACTTCTGACATAGGTGTACGAGTGGCATGAGGATGGCTAGAGGGGCGTAGCTGGCATGGATAATATGAGGAACTATGGGGAATGCATCAGAATGCATGGGAGGGGCATAGGGAGTATGGGAATGTAGATGTTAGAAAGTGTAAGTGTTGAAGATTTGTTCATACTTGATTTTTGGGGAGGTTTGGTATCCCTTTGAATCTGGTCCAGGACACCTTTGGTGAAGGTAAGACAACCTTTGCGGTTGTGAAATGGCCTGCATGTGTAACAAGTGCATAAAAGCATTGGACTCTCAGCCCTTGAGCAGCATGAGCAATGGTGAGAAATGAGTAAAAATATGGTGAGAATGAAAAGATGCAATTCTCAATAGCACGAAAAGAAATGTAATTTTCTACTTAAGCTTTCAATTACAAGATGAGAATCTCACTAGAAAGGACCCTAATTTTTATACATTTGTATCTTATTGCTGGCTAATCTCACCTAATTTCCAAGCAGGTTGCAATTCTCCCAGGAACCAGTGAAAAACTAGATTGCTGTAATTTCCAACTTCTGAAAGTCAGCCAGTTAACTGGCAGCTGCACCTTGGCAGTGCTTTCTCTGGGCCTCCATGTTGACTGTCATCCCTAGTATCCCCACAGGACATGATACACTGAAATCAACAATGTCACAGTACCAAAGGACAATATTGCACTCCATTTGCCGGACCTTTACTCACTCAAACTATCTATATCCCTCTTTCAGACATTCAGAGTCCTCTGCACACTTTGCTCTACCATTCATCTTAGTGTCACCCACAAACTTTAACACACTGCACATCGTCCCCAACTCCAAATCATCTATGTAAATTGTAAGCAATCGCAGTCCCAACACGGATCCCTGAGGCACACCACTAGTCACTGATCGCCAACCAGAAAAGCATTAATTTATCTCCACTCTTTGCTTTCTGTTCGTTAACCAATCCTCTATCTACGCCAATACGTTGCCCATAACGCTGTGCACATTTATCTTATGCAGTAGCCTTTTGTGAGGCACCTTGTCAAATGCCTTTTGGAAATCTAAGTACACCACATCTACTGGGTCTCTGTTGTCCACTGTGCTCATAATGTCTTCATAGAATTCTAGTAAATTAGTTAAACATGACTTGCCCTTCATGAGCCCATGCTGTGTCTTTCGAATGGGACAATTTCTATCTAGATGTCTTGCTATTTCTTCCTTGAAGATAGATTCAAGCATTTTCCCCACTACAGAAGTTAAGGTAACCGCCCTATAATTCCCCATCTTTTGTCCACCTTCTTTTTCAAACAGTGGTGTCACATTTGCTGTTTTCCAATCTGCTGGAACTGCCCCAAAATCCAGTGAATTTTGGAAAATTACCACAAGCGCATTTTCTATTTCTCTCACCATCTGTTTTAGTACCCTCGGATGCATTCCATCAGGGTCAGGAGACTTGTCTACCTTTAGCTCCATTAGCTTGCCCAACACTACCTCTTCCATGATAATGATCATTTCTAGATCCTCACCTACCTTAGTCTCTTTGTCATCAATTACTGACATGTTATTCACGTCCTCCACTGTGAAGACTGACACAAAATACCTGTTCAATGCTTCAGCTATTTCCTCATTTCCCATTATTAAATACCCCTTCTCATCCTCTAAAGGATCAATGTTTACCTTAGCCACTCTTTTTTGTTTATATATTTATAGAAAATTTTGCTATCTGTCTTTATATTCTAAGCTAGTTTACTCTCTTAATCTATCTTACTTTTCTTTATAGCTTTTTTTTGGCTTTCTGTTGACCTTTAAAGTTTTCCCGATCTTCTAGTTTCCCACCGGTCTTTGCCACTTTATATGCTTTATTTTTTAATTTGATAGCCTTCCTTACTTCCTTAGACATCCATGGTTGATTACCCCTTTTTCTACAGTCCTTTATTTTCACTGGTATATACTTTTGCTGAGCACTTTGAAAAATTGTGTTGAAAGATTTCCACTGTTCCTCAACTGTACCACCATAAAGTCTTTGCTTCCAGTCTACTTTAGGCAACTCCTCCCATATCCTATTGTACTCTCCTTTGTTTAAGCACGTGACCCTGGTATTGGATTTTATCTTCTCACTTTCCATCTGTATTCTAAATTCAACCATACTGTGATTGCTCCTTCCAAGAGGATCCCTAACTATAAAATCATTAATTATTCCTGTCTCACTACACAGGTTCAGATCTAGCATAGCTTGCTCCCTCATTGGCTCTGTTACACACTGTTCAAGAAAACTATCGTGGATACATTCAATGAAATCCTCCTCAAGGCTGCCTTGACTGACCTGCTTTGACCAATCAACATGTAGATTAAAATCCCCCATGATAATTGCCGTACCATTTCTGCAGACATTAATTATTTCTTTGTTTATTGCCCACCCAATGTGATGTTATTATTTGGTGGCCTATAGACTACATCTATCAGTGACCTTTTCTTCTTAGAATTTCTAATTTCTACCCTAAAGGATTCAACCTTATTCTCCATTGAACCTATATCACCTCTCACTACCGCCCTGATGTCATCCTTAAATATCAGAGTTTGCCCCCCCCCACTTACCTTCCTGTCTGTCCTTCCAAATAGTCTGATACCCGTGGATATTTAATTCCCAGTCATGACCATCCTGCAACCATGTCTCCGTAATGACTACAAATCATATTCATTCACAATGGTTTGTGCTGTTAACTCATCTACCTTGTTTTGAATACTACAAGCATTCAGGTAAAGTGCCTTTATGCTAGTTTTTATACCTTCCACTTGAATTCTAACATCTCAAT